CATGTAAGTTACTTGATGATGATGAAGTTAGTTAGTAAGACTTGTAGTGTGTATACCATTTTTATGCTCTACCCAGAGAGCAAACATTTAAAAACACTTAGTGGAAGTAAACCGCTTAGATGCACGTGCTGATAAACCATTGTGAATTTTCGTTTGACGTACTTTGTTTGAACGGTTGGACTCCTCTGTGCATCAAACCTTAAAGGATTTTTGGTAAAACTGGTAGCTTCACTACAAAGATCTTCTGTGAAGTGTATTTAAAACACCAATTTAGATGCCAAAAAAAAAATCTCAAACACTTAAATCTATATATAAAGGAGATGAAGCTAGCTCGATAGTATACCATCCATTGTGATAGGCCATTTTTAGTGTATGGCAAATGCTTCTTTTCTGTCTCATCTTGGCTTAAACACCTTGTTGCAAAGATGCAAAAAGAGGATGTAAACAAAACGTATATTGACATGTCATCATTTAAAAGAGGAGAAATGTCCTGTATAGCTATATGAAAGTTTGAAAGGAAAACCAATGTCAAGTAGATCTACAATTGTTTTCAAAAGATCTAAATGTGAGAAATACATTTTCAATAGACATTCGAACACCAATATAATGCAGTGTACACCAAGAGCTAATCTCCTGTCTTTTTACTTTTAGTGAAGCACACATTCCTCATAATACAAGAGAGAAGCCAACAGATCAGCTAAAACCTAAAATGTAGCAACTAAGCCCCTTCATGGAGCCACACACTAAAACCTAAGTACACAATTCTGTTGGGAACCCATCTTTTGTAGACATCTTTCTCTTGGCCACTAATAATTACTCATGACTCGTGATTTTCATCTTTCCTAAAGTATGATACCACAAAGTCAAAGATGAACTCCAAAAACCAAAAATTTTAATACAAGTTCACAATTTATTGATGAGAAATGTGCTGTTTCTGACAAATTGTTTCCTTTACATTTCAGAAGATTTCCATGGAAGGATGACTGTGTGTGGAGGACGTTCTACAAAGATGGGAGTGATTCTGCGATAACCCTGCAATCTGTGATAACCTGGGTTGTATTTGCTTTGCTAACACCTGCATTCTACTTCACTGGGGCAAAAGCAATCAAAGGGCTGAGCTGGAGAGGAACCGTTGGGGACAATCTTATCACTGGAGCTGGTTATGCTGAGCTGCAAGAGGATTGACCACTGTTGTTGGACAACAAGCTAAACCTTCACCAAATACTCTGAAAGCGGAAAACGGCTCTCTGTATGGCCCCGCTACTGGTCACACTGATTTTCCAAGATCCTCTGTTGACCTGTACTGACCTGTAGTGACCAGCTTGCCAGCCCAGTGGCACTGGCTGCTTGTTGGCAGAAGATCTGGTTACATCTGTTGTGTTGTTTCAACTCCAGTAAGAGGGGGATCAGGAGTGTTTTGGCCATGCCATTGAACAAAGACCGTTCAACTACTCTTTCGCGATAGCGTAAGAGATAGAAGTTCAATTCCAGAAGGAACGGTATGTCCACTAAAAGGAGTTGATGAATGCAGAGAAAGGCCAAGCCACGCTGACCTCCAGGGTCGTGTCAACAATACCCATAAATACAGGGGTCATGGGAGTCGGCTTGAGCTCCGCTGATCCCCAGCCTTGTACAATGACCAAACTGCATAGAGGCACAACATGCCCACACAGTTCTTCACCCGAGATATGCTAGGGACTGGTCAGTGTGAGAAAATGGCCTCGACGTGTACAAGTACAGCCCTTCTGGCTTGTCCAGTTCTTGACCACGGCTTGTTTTGATAGCTACTGGACTGTCTGAAAATGGCCAGGAGCTCAGAAAGTTTGTATCCCCTACACATTTGCTTTAGAGATACAGGACAAGCTGGACTGAAGTTAGTGAAGAGGCCCTACAGATTGAACAGAGCTCTGTCAACAAAAAGGCGGAGCCAACTGTCCTTGGATCCTGTGGCACCAGGCAGAAATAGGGGGAGGACAAAGGTCACCAACTGACCAGCATCCAAAACATGTGCTTATCCAGTAACTCCCTGTGGGCCAAACTGGTCTGACAAGGAGAGGAATATTTTTCAGGTTTGACCACATTCCTGGGCCTGTTTGAGGTGTGAGCTGCGCCCATAGGTACAATCATTTGGCTGTTGATTAATAGAACGCAACACTGTTTACACTCAGAGAACGGAGCTGGATTGGATGTGGGGTAACTGAAGTAAACTGAAGCTGTCTTTACCTAAAACAGTATAACACTGAACATACAACACACACATCCCCACCACCTACCTACAGCGATGCATTGTAGAAAAACACAAAACCAAAGGCACTTACTTCAATACATCATAAAAACTTGTATAGTATCGAAGCAAAGCTTAGCCATTTCTCCATTGAGTGTTATAGTTAGGTCATATTTTCTGTACTGTTTTTAGATTCTATTTATTGCTTTGCTTTTAGTGTTGTATAGAATACTAGTAATATGTTTTGTCGGCTATGGTGCTCAACACCAGCAATTGCTGCCTGGTGCTCCATGTTGATTGTATTGTGTTGTTGCAATTTGAATAAAGAACGAAAGCAATTTTATTGTGTGTTTTGAAGATGAGCCTATCAAATGAAGCCTATTTATGGCCCAAAGCAAACTGTAAGTGTGCAAACTCTTTCTTTGATGTTTGCCTTTTATTCATCTACTACTAGCTAGATTTGCAGTCAGTTGGCAAAAGTGTAGTACAGGTACCATGTTCAAAAATGTTATAACTTTCGGTTGTTTTTTTAAAGCAGTATTTAGTAAGCAGTATTTTGACCCATGGAATTTCCTGCAACTGGTGGATTATCTTCAGCAGAATGATACACAGCATTAATGTAATGATTATGTTACATAGTATGATACACTTCTGCAAAAGCTAATAAAACAGCAGTTTTGCACATGAATCAAGCTGGTAACTCCTAGTATTACTGCATTATGTGAGTATGGTGCCTGTTACGGTATACTTTTGCTAATACTGTACATTTCTCAGACAGTTTGAATGATACACAGTAAGAAATTGTCATGATGTATAGTGAATCAATTCTTGTAACAGAAAAATACAAATCTTTTGAAGTTGTGTTGATTTTTGGTTGATAGTGACTTTTGTACCAGGAGATTATCCAAAATCCTGCATTTCCCATACTAATCTGCCTTTTATACACCTTTCTGGGCAGGAAGAAAGGATAAGATTAGTAGTGATGTGCCATCGGATCAATGGTTGTTAGATTTTGATTTTTGAATTAGAAGAAGACTGTTGTACTGAATAAAATCCACAAAAAAACTACAAGCTACCACTATATATACAGCAATAACTTAACCATGGAGGAAAAGAGGTACTGTACATCATGTTTAGTAGTCAACAGCTATTTCACAGATTTTAGGCATGGTATTTCCAAATCCCTGTTTACACAAATCATATCTTTTGACCAAAAGCTTTGTAAATGCTTCGGAACATGTTCTGTTAACAGGCGTTTGTCTAATGACCAATATGGATCTGCTGTGCTCATGGATACAAGACCTCACCAAGATGACATTAGCTACAGAAGCTACTACTTCTGTCCATTCTAATAACAATTTCCATAGAATCCTTGGCTGCTGAAGATGTTGTTCGCAGAAAAATTGTTCCAGAAATGCTCCAGTGAGAGTTTATTTATATACATGACAGAAGTAGGTCATCACCAAATGCTGAAGCTTGTGACATTTACAGCTAAAGTGCCTTATGCAAGTGAAAGTGCGTCAGTAGCTGAGCTCTTTGTATGAACGAAAACTACCATGTCAGCAACCTAAGCCATTGCTTGTCAAGTATTCTCTTCAGCCACAATGTCTGAAATGATTTCATGCACAAGTCCTCACATTTTTACGGCAGAAATCATTTTAGATGGTATACCTGAAAAACAGATTTTTGCCTTTACAATGCAACACACAGTCACAATGTGATATTGGCCCAACTTTAATTCATTATACACAGAAAAGATTTGAGATAGAAACACCAAGAAAACATTGCAGGTATGTAAGTATTTTTGTGTGCTTAAGAAATGTCCATTTAGAACTTGAATCTCAGTTACGTGTCTTGTAAGGCTTATGTAACTCACCAAGATGTCAAAGAAGAGCCTCAAGAGGAAGGTTTTGAAAGCAGTATTGATGTTTTGGCTGCTTCAGGTAAAAAAAAACACTTGCCACATCCTAGTGTAGATCATGACAGTTTTTCTTTCTCTTTTTTTTAGAAGAATCTAACGTCTGTTTTGGTAAGGAACACTCACACTCAATATCTAGTTTATATTCTGTTACCAGTATTCCTTGTCTTGCAAAGGTTAAATGTCAACAGCACCAAGTTGTCAACATTTTTCAAAAACCTGCAAGCCCACCCAAACAAAATTTCAAGAAAGTGCATGGCTCTATTGTAGTTTTTCGATTTGCACATAGTTTTGTAAAAACACAGCTAAATGTGGAGACACTGGGCTATTTTTGGCTTGCATCAAAGGCCCCATATAGAAAAAATATTATTTGTGAACTATTTATAACAACCAAATGCCATGGCACACGTTGCAAAAGAGAGGCTTCCTATTCCAAATTTCTCGACTGCTGATATTTTCATTGCAAGGAATGTGCATTAAAATTCCTTACCTATTTGCAAGGACAAGGACCCAGAATTACTTCCAGAAAGGTTGACTTGGATGCAATGGATACTTCTATCTCCTACCTTCTGTTCATAGAATTTCAAAGCGGTTATATGGATACTTCTATCTCCTACCTTCTGTTCATAGAATTTCAAAGCGGCTATACCTTCTACTTTTCAAAGGCGTCCGTGTTTTCTTTGCAGTTACCTGTACAATCTGGAGTTTGCTGATGCTATCTCTGTTTCCTCTTTATTTGCTAGTGGACTTCACAAAAGAGCGGAGATTTGTGTACTAGTAGATGTGTTTCAAATAATGGGTTTGAGTTAACACTTTGGTGGATGATACTGCAGTAATATAGCTTAGTATCAAGCATGACATTTAATAGGTTAAGAGTACAGTAACATAGATAAGGGACTGTCTTCAAAATGGGTCTAATTTTCAGCCACTGAGGCCTGTCCTCCTTGTGATCTTGGAACTGGAAACTACCGGTAGTTCAAGTCATGGCTGTACAGTTAGGTGCATGTTTTTTTCTTGTTTTGAGTTATCCAGAGCATGTACTTTTAATTTTGTTGCCATTAAAAGAGCATGACATCAAAAACAACTCGGAGGCAAATCGGAGCAATGTTTTGAATGGAAGGCTTTTTGGCAAACCTGCCTTCCTGTGTTCAAACAGTTTCTGACAGTTTCAGATACAACTACAAGAAAGAGGAAGCCATGTTGGAGCTTTGGGAAGCATGTTTTGAATGATCCCTTTTTCTTGCATCTGCAGTTCACTTCTAAACTTTATAGCTAACATTTTCTTTCATTAATGTAAATATGAAACATTTAACAACCAAAGACTGGCAAAATGTAAGTTCAGTGTGTTCTATAAAGCTTCAATGATCAATCTCAGTCATGTCCATACAGGTTGTGTTGGCTTATACATTTGTACTTACATCTTTTTCCATGCAGTGCTCTGTATAGTGACTAGGTGACAACAAGGTAATGTCTGCTGTATGAATGTGTGGTTGATGCTTCAAGTCAATTTTACATGCAGCACTTTAATTTCAACATATTTCAAACACTTGTTATACACAATGGTTCACATTTTTGCTGCAAAGATTCAAGATAATGTTGTGTCCATTCAACATGTGCCTCCAGGTGACAACTAAAATGTCATGCTCCTGTAGCAAAAATATCTCTTTGCTCATCTACCTGGCAATAAAGGCAACATCCCGACACACAATCATTTCCAATGAAACATATATATTACACTTCTAAAGAAAACCATCATGTAGCAATTAGCACTGAAAAACAATATGGCATGTAGTAGAAAATTCAATACAATGTACAGATTTTTTCTTACAATTTGACTTTTTCAAGATATTTGCATGATTTCTATTTCTAGCCTATGTATAAGTGGTGAAGCGAGGTTTCAGCACAATCTACATCAAACCGTGAAAATCACACATCTATCCTTACACCAAATTCACTGACAACAACACCACAACACACACACATGCCAATTACTCCTCACATGGTTCAGTACTTGGAATCAAACATATACCTTTCACAACATTTCAACACAACAAAGACAAATTCTTGAAACAGTACATCTGTAAGCCCTTTTTTATAAGTTATAACAAGAAAGCCTTTCCCATTTGCGTTAACACAAGTCACATAGGGCTATACCTTTCTGACTAGATCTACAAATGTTATGTGATATTTTGGTGTCAACCTGTTCCCACGTGCTCTCAATATAAGGGTAAATCCACCTTCAAATACCTTTACATAACAAAACAGTGACGGATTATACACTGTACTAGCAACTACTGTTATGCCTAGGAAGGGGGAGTTGACAGTATCTTAAAATAAGTAAAGTAAAACAAAACTGTATTCAATTGTAGTAAGAAATTACACATGTACACTTGTAGCTGAAATGAGTAGAATAGAGTAGAGTAAATAAATGCTATTTGATGTTCAAGGCCTTTAGTTTCAATAAGACATTCATTCATGTATAGACCAATATAGACTTTATAATCATGTCCAACTCCTATATGTACCTACATAGGTCAATTTCTTTTTTTCAAAATTAGGACTGTATCATTCATACACGACAATACAGTGACTCAAATACTAATATTTTCTATTTCTGTAGGACTGTTGTTTCATTGTTGTTGGTTGCCACACCTTCTTGTACAGTGTGTCACAAGCAAAGAAGCTCCAAATGACATGGTTGCAAGAGCTGGGATTGTTTCTGGATTAAAAGGGAACCTGGGAAGGTGGTGACTTTTGGCACGATAGTGTAAGTGGTAGTACTTATTCTAAGTCTTATGAATGTTGATCTGTTCTAAAAGAAGTGCTACACTTAAAGGTCAAGTACAACCGAAGAACAGATGGAAATATTCCCCAAATGTCTGATACTGGTAAGTTACCAAAACTTTTTAGATCAAAGACAAAAAAGGTCTGGATTAAGCAGGAAAAGTACAGAAGACAAGTATGCAACAAGGTATGATAAACTATGTTGTACATACTTCATGTTACAGAGAAAGGTCCTCTCCTATCCTATAATGCACACTTGGCAAAGGGGTCGCTCAAGTTTGTCATGAATATCTGGCAAAGTCCGGCATCTTAATCTTGTAAGCATTCACATTCTCAAACAGAAAGGGTTTCCAAACAAGTGGCAGAAGTGGGCAAACACTGGACGGAATGGTGGAAAAGTAACAACAAC